GTCAACATGGCCATTGATGAGAATTCTGGAAGTCCGTACTTCAAGAAGTTGCTAAGGTTGAGAAGCATTGATCTGATGGACTCTGTGCTGAGAGAAAAGTTAGGCTGGATGCCCTCTAAGGTCCCTTCCAACTCTACGATGCTACGATTCAATACAAATCATCTCACTGTCATTTTTTCATTTTGCAGGCCTGGGATATTCCATATTCCGTGGTGCCAATTCCCAGAAAAACACCTTCCGACGGAATCCCGCTGACCCCAGAGTGACTGGTTTGTAGCATCACAAGTTTCACTTTGTAGGGGGGGGGGGTCCATAAGATCGACTTAACCAAAATCTGGCAGGCACATTCACACAACATGGTGGGTTTGCTTCCTTTTATCCTAGGTGATTAAGATAGCAATAGCCATAATGTTTAGACTTATATCCCGCTTCACATTGCTTTACTCACAACTTCTGTAGGGAAGCTGTTCCACTGATTAGTTAACAGAATAATAGAGTCAGATCTTTTAGTACAGGGCTTCTCAACCTTTTCACCCATTGTACCACTTTTAGGATATGGCAATATCCGAGTACCACCAGTCGCCTAGCAAGGGGTCAAAAACATGATGACCAAAAAAAAAAAAAAGGAAAAAAGTGATAAAGTACAGGTAGTCCTCGACTTACAACAGTTAGCTTAGTGATTGTTTGAAGTTACAATGGCATTGAAAAAAGTGCCCCCCAAGCCACAGCTGAGCAAGACACTTGCCTGCCCACCTGGCAGCGCTCTTCCTCCTGTCCGAGGTTTCCATTGTTGTGAGCATTTCTGCTGAGGATTGGCAGCGGGGGTGGGGTGGGGGGGTGTTTGGTTTTTATTCCCCCCCCCCCCAGTCTGCTGGGTGGTTGCAGCAGGTTTTGGTCACTTCACATGAACCTGGGTCACTGTGACTGTCATAAATATGAATCGGTTGCCAAGCATCTGAATGTAAATCACAAGACCTTGGAGAGGCTGCAACACTCCAGCTGATCGGCGCTTCTTCTGGGCTCAGCAGAAGCACCAGGATCAGCGCTGCTTTCCAGCTGGAGCCTGGCGCTGGTCCTGGGGCTTCCGCTGAGCCCTGACAGCCCTGCAGCTCCAGCCGTCTCTCGCTCAGGCTTGTGCGGTGCTGCCACCGGTTCAGCTCATTCCCCTCCCCCACTACCACTTTTCTAGGAGGGCCGCGTACCACCTGCCAGGTGCCAATGTACCCCAGGTGGTACCCGTACCACTGGTTGAAAAGCCCTGTTCTAGTAGTCCAACCCCCTCAAACAGAAGACCCTCTATCACTCTCTTTTTTCCCCCAGGGCTCCGGACAATCCCTACGGCAACCGGTCGCCGCCTCCTGGTCTCTGGCTGGTGGGGTTTTGTGCGACACCCCAACTATTTAGGAGACCTGATCATGGCTTTTGCGTGGTCTTTGCCCTGCGGTAAGTGGCAGCCACCTAGGAGAGGCTCCGGATTTGTCTCTCTGCAGCAATCTAAGCTGGCCTTCCTTTCGGTTTCGTTGCAGGATTCACTCACATCTTGCCCTATTTTTATATTATCTATTTCACCTTGCTGCTGGCTCATCGGGATGCCCGGGACGAGCACCAGTGCCTGAGGAAGTACGGGCTAGCGTGGCACGAATATTGCCGGCGTGTCCCTTACCGGATTTTCCCGTATCTCTACTGAATTCTTAAGTCTCCATTTCCAAACGGTCTCTTGTTTGGAAGTTGTCAGAATTGTCTCCTGGCTTCATGTCACTGCAAGAGAGAAGACACTGGCACAACTTGGGAAGCAGGCAGAAGCATCAGCTGTACATGACTGTTTCTCCAAACAAGATGGCTGGATTTTTATTGTACATTCTCCTGTTTCACTATCACCGACTGGAGGACATTTTCGTTTGTCCTCCTTTCCCGTCTTCCATTTGCCTAGATCAGTGGTTCTCAACCTTTTTAATGCCACGACCCCCAATCGGTCGTAAGTCGAGGACTAAACCGGTCGTAAGTCGAGGACTAAACCGGTCGTAAGTCGAGGACTACCCAACCGGTCGTAAATCGAGGACTTTCCCTGCCCGGGAGCGCCGCACATGCGTGGTTCCGCCCCCTGCGCCGGCCGAGGCGTAGCTGGCAAGTGGCAGAGACGGAGCAGGCCGACCACCAGCTGGCCCAGTTCAAGGGAGGTAAGGCACCCGCCGGAAAAGGGGAAAAAAATGGCGGACAGCCTTGCTTGGCGACCCCTGTGAAATGGTCGATCGACCCCAAATGGGGTCGCGACCCATAGGTTGAGAACCGCTGGCCTAGATTATGTTCCTGATAGGAAAAGACACTGGAAAAGTACACTTTGGACCTGGAGCCGTTTTCTATTGAAATAAACTGATTTGTTTAGGACATAGAATAACAGAGTTGGAAGAGACCTGGGAGATCTTCTAGTTCAGGGCTCTCCAATCCCCCATGGTACTGGCCCATGGCCCATCGGGAACTGGGCTGCGCAAGCAGCGGACGAGCACACAAAACCATCCCCCTCTGGCCACTGCTGGTCCATGGAGCTGGAAAGGTTGGAGACCACCGTTCCAGTTCATCTCCCTGCTCAAGCAGGAGACCCTAACCATTTTGGACAAATGGCTGTCCAGTCTTCTCTTAAAACCACCAGCGATGGAGCATCCACAACTTCCAGAGGCAAGTCATTCCAGTGATTAATTGTTCTGTCAGGAGATTTCTCCTTACTTCTAGGATGGATCTCCCACCCATTACTTCTTGTCCCGTCCTCCAGGTGCGTTGGAGATGAAGTCAACCTCCTCCTCTGTGACAGCCCCTCAAGTACTATCATGGCCCCCCCTTAATCCTTTTCATCTTCGATAAGCTAGACGTAGTGATCTCCCTCAACCGTTCACCATACAATTTAGCCTCCAGAACTCTTTGCTGCTCTTCTCTGCACATTTTCCAGGGATCTCAACAAGACAATCAAAGTACTTTAGCAGTGCTTCTTTTATTTTTTTTATTTTTTTTTATATTTGAATTTATATCCCGCCCTTCTCCCGTAGGACTCAGGGCGGCTGACAATCTATTTAAAATACATACAAGACAATACAAATTTAAAATTAATTAAAAAGAATATTAAATATTTGTCGAATTAAAATATAATTAAAACCCCCCTAAAAATTACCCTAGGCCAGTCCTGCAAGCTGGAATAACCAAGT